AATACATTATTCAAAAATGCATTCTTAGGAATATAATGTGGCCTAAACAATACTTAAAATTGATTAAAATTCATTAAAAGAATTTATTTTCATTCTATAAATATTAACTTACTATATATTTAAAATTTACTCATTCGGCCCCTCATTGGGTGGTCGAGATGGTGGAGTAAGTGAGCGCGGAAGCCTTTGATCACGAGTTCGATTCCCCATATCAACACTTTCTTGATCGAGTCTGTTACACCAGGCTTGCCTAGTATGGTTTACCTGGTTGGCGTGGTTTGCAGGTTATTGCGTCAGCCCAAAGGTTTATCGAGTGCGCACCCGAAAGATAACGGCTGGGAGTTCTCCCGTCATCGAACAAAAGAAAAAAATTACTCATTCGATTCAAACACCACCAAATTAACACCACGCAAAAATCACCAACTCACCACCATTGTCGACACCCATGACAACATCAATGCATCTCTGCACACCAGAAGCCACCACAAACCAAAACTAAAACCAATAAAATTCTAGCCACAAACGCCACTGTTAAATTTTTTTTTTCATAGTTTTATTTTTCACCCATATATTTGAAGAAGTTATAAAATTTGAAATAGATCTAGGGTTTCTTGTTGAAACATAAATGCGATGGTGGAGCTCGATTTTGAATCGTGGACATTGGTGGCTGATATACATGGAGGTAGTTTTTCAGTTGTTATTAGTGATAGCAGTAATAGATGGTGGATTTTTTCTTTTTTGATTGGTAAATATATAATATATTGATCTAAAATCATGTACAAGTGCACTGGGTATACTCGGACAATCAAAGATCAAGTACGACTACAAATATACTGGGCATATGGAAAGAGAAGATGCACAAAAGAGAAAATCTAGCAACCAAATGCCATGGACTCAAAGTGAATCAAAACATGTGGATACAAAGAAAACATTACTTTGTATATGTGTGTTTTAATCCGTCTAACAATGCTATCAACCTATAGTATAAGGCGTTCAGAAATCTTCGTGTGACATGCTGTCCACAAGTGGGAAACGATGCTAACAAAAGCAATCTTCTTAGCCCTTGTCTGAGCACCGATCCTTTTATGAGAATGCATTTTTGAATAGTGTATGTAAGGAATTTTTAAACGATCGTATGGATTTATATGTGTAAATTGTTGTGTATTACATTAAAGGTTATTGAATTCGGTTGAACCCATTTAAAGTAATCTAATAAGGCTTCGATTTTGGGCCATTATGCATCCAATTAAAGTGTGGGCTTATAAATGTGTAGAGACCGGGCCCAAGTCCCTAATTCCATGATGGGTCAAATTAGCTCAAAGGGTGTCGCTATATAAATACGGTTATGGTCCTCAGATCACACGTACATTTTATTCATTCTCTTTTGCATCCCATCACAGAGAGAAAATGAGACTACATTTGGAAGACCAAGCTGCATGATTCGATTATTGCATCAACAATTCTGATTCAGGTACGCTTCCACTATAATTCTTGAATTTCTTGATGATCTAACATGAGGATCCGGTGATTTAAAGTAATAAATTATCTTACAGTGTATTGATGTGAAATGTATGGTTAAAAAATAAGGAAATTTTTTTAATTTACGTGTAATATTATTTTATTGAAAAATGTGTGATTGAAATTGTATCATAATACTGTTTAAGATTGTATTTTTTCAAAAGAATAGAAATTAAACAAGGGCTTAGTTTTGCTATGCCGAGCCCTCCTCCAAGCCTCATTTTTAATCCACTTCAATGCAACAAGGATGGTGGATTTTTTTTTTTATATGCAGGTATCCATCTTACAGTGACTAAATCTTGGAGTCTATACCTTGGCCCCTCAAGCTGCAGACAGGTTAAACAACAGGTTGTGTCCCAAATTGATCAGTGCTCAAGAGCCCTCCAACTGATCTGCCAAAGTGTCAAGCAAGTCGTTTTTCATCTTTGCACCTTGCTTTCCAGTAGAGCTCCTGACTTCCAAAATAAATCTTGCCTTCCAGGAAAATATCTGCCTTCCAAGAGCCTTGTAGGAATCGAACTCACGACCTCTGATCTGCCAACCTTAAAACGCCTTCATCTTTTCTAGTTGGGATGTGCCATGGGGGCAAGGATGGTGGATTTTGAATCTATTTAAGGTGGTGACTAAACCAAAAGTAAGACAATATGTTACAGTTTGTGAAACTTCACGTTGATTTTAACGAAAAGTAACATTTGTGTGATGTGGCCGATATTGATTTCCGGTATTTAAAAAAAAGACAGAAGTGACTTAATAGCAATTTGAAATGTCAATTTTAATTTTAAGAGCACAAAATCTTAATTTTTTGTGGCTAAAATTAAAATATCTAGTTTCGATTAAGACCTCGTTTGATCCCATTATTTTAAAATATATTTTTCTCTTTTCTTTTCAACCATACATTATTCAATAAAATAATATTACACACAAATCCAAAAATTCTTCTTATTTTTTAACAATATATTCTCCATCAATATATTATTCCAAAATACATTCTTGTATGAAAATGGAGCTCAAATAGGCGCTAAAAGCCTAAAGTGATACAATGTCTCATATTTTCTAAGTAAGTTTTTAAGCAAGCAATACTATCTTTCAATATTTTTTGGCATCTCAACGCCAAACCATGTAACAAACATGTCTTGTGTAAAGTATCCATAAATAGATTGGTAATAGTATACGACCTTTTAATACTTTGCGTTGACCCAATAAAGTATTGTGTGAAATTATTGAATCAATTTCATTCAAAAGAATGTAATTTGTTATATCTTTTTATCTTAGATTTCGTGTTTTTAATAGTCTACTCACATCAAACCTCTTTATTATGTTATAAGATTGAGTGGAAATGACTGTCTTTTAAATAAAAAATTAAAGAATATCATCAACCTCCATCAAGTCGATTGCTAGAACTATTGATCTTAGAACCAGAGATATAGAAACTAATTCTTTGTTCCCTTGAGTTATACTTCTAATCAAAACTCTTAACTTTGGATTATTGTTTTGTTCGACAAATTCAAAATCCAGATTTTATTCAACCTTTTTTTAAGAAATAACATTTCTTTCAAAATTATTAGATTTCAATAAATAAAAAAAATTCATTTTGTTTATGACAGATAACTAAAATAACCACCAATTGCTAACAAAAGGATTACAAACTTCCTCAGAATACTATTAGCATTGATATCTCGTACAAAGAAGTGTGCCATTAACCGTTACATTATCTTCATAAGGAAGTTATACAAGGTTGCTCCGAGACCGTTAGTATCTCATGTCATAAACCCGGGATTATATGTATTCCCCGTTACTTTCAGCTCAAACACGAACAAGTTTACCGAAAATGGCTGAATGTGTAACTTGTTTGGTAAGGTAGTTTGTACAGTGAGGAACAATTTTAAGGATGAAAAAGAAACTAAAATCGTGTTTGTTACACTGTCAAGTCTGATCGGCCATTGCGTACAAGACATGCGCTAAGAGTTATCAAATATACACCTGCGAATAGTTGTGGTAAGCTCACTGACCTTCTGAGGGTGGAGAACAACTGCACATATTCCAAAACAAACACCAACAGCAGCAATTGCAAAGACGAGTGGACGAGAGGTCAAAACCGTCCTTGTAAATAAGCGACGGCAAGACTTTCCCGGCATTTCCTTAAGGTTTACACCCATGAGCACCTCTCCATTCAAAAGACGAACGGTTTCACTTTCGTCTAAAGAAGGTAAAACCACTCTCTGCTGCAACGCATTCTTTGTCTCGAGACCCTGCAAAATGTCCAAATCGCCATCCCATTTTTTAACATAAAATGTCTTTTTACTAACTTCTTATCGACATTCCTTCTGTTACTAAGTAAAAACACAATAGGTAGATTACAGTAAACAAACACACGATGTTCTCACCCGATTAGTAGCCGGAACAGAAGATTGACAATCGAACTGAGAGCTTTGACTGGATAATTTTCCATCCGACACATGCAATACTGAATATTCATTTTCCTCTTGTTTCCGGTTAAGTATATTTCTCGCATTACTAATATTTCCACAAAATAACTTCATATCAGCGTCAGAATTACCAACAACCAAATTATTGTCCATAGTAGATTTCATGCAATCCAATACTCTCTCCAAAATGATGGTTGATTCCCATTCTATCAGAAAATTCAGTAAATAGTTGAATCTTTGCATTTGAGTAGACGTCAGCTGTTGCTCTGATATCGGTTTCTTGAGTGACCATGCTACTTCCAAAAGAAACACTGAGAACTCGTCTTGCCTTGAGGCCAAAATTTCACATGCAGGCTTCGGGAAAGATAACTGTTGTTCTTCGGAGTCGTGAGATGCATTAAACTTTTGTTGCAACACCACCATTTCTTCACAAACTTCCTTGTTCCCAATAAGAACAGGAATGAAATTCGATAAACCAGACTGATTCTCAACCTACAAAAAGTTGAAACTGCGACCTAATTAACAAAAGAATGCAAACATTAGGAAAAGCATTTTATTTAATTGATTGAATTTGATGCATGATTTCTTAAAATGCAGATTCAACAGGGTGTTAAAAGTCTGGTTTTAAGTAACTTGAATGAAATTTGATGTATTATGGACACAAGATGCATATCTGCAATTTAACAAATCAGTGGATAGAAGGGATTCATGTACCCTACAACAGATTTATTGAGTCCAAGGCTTTTTTAACTGTCAAGCTTCCTTGACACAATCATGACACAAATAGAAAACAGGTAAACCTAATACTATATACAGCTTGAAGACTTTGTATAGAATGCCAGAGTCAATACCAATTGTCAATGTAAGACAGAGAAAGGTCAAAGAGATACTCGCTTTCATATTCACCTCTATAAATGCAGGGCCAAAAAGATAGAGGTCAGTTGGAGGGACATAAATCTTCAGTAACTGGTGGTCAGCACTGTTGGTGTCCCCTTCTTTCTTACGGCCCACAGACAAAACACAAATATTATATGCTAGATACCGTCCCCCGAATGATATAAGAAACCTGCCATGGCCATAAAAACTATTGAAGACAATCTAGAAAAAAAATGTTATTTAAACTAGATTCTATGAAAATGGAATCATTGGGAGAATAATCGAAAGTGTGGATTTTTTCAAAGAGTAGCAAACAATTCACGAAACCGTAGCCCAATGTAATATCTAGCTTATCTATTCCTTAGCCAATTTTAAAAACTAATCAAATTGTAAGCTATCAGTTGTTGAACGGACAGAATTATCTCGCATTTTTAAATCTTCATCCCATTTATCTTTTTGGAAGAACAAGGCAACAAGCAAAATGATTTCCTATTTTTTAAATACTTCCTCATATCCATGAAAAATAATCCATCTTTGTGGTCAAACCATGAAAAGCGAACACAAAATTTCCTACGCCCTCCCCTCTCCCTTCTCTACCTTTCCTTTCTGTCACTATGCTATTAAGCTAACGGTTGCAAAATAGGTATTAAGACAACTTATGAGAGCTTAAGTAAAAAAAAAAAAGAAAAAAAAAAGAAGGTTGATCTGATTTTATAGAAAGATTGAGCACAGAAAATATTTACTTAAAAACTGTGAAAAGAAATTTTGGCTAAATCTATCCACATTGAAAAGGCATCTCCATCATACCGAAATTGTGGCTGAAGGAGATTGGTTCCACAAGCAATGAACTCCATAGGCTTCCCCGCTTCAAAACATGTTGGATAAACGGAATGAAGCTTTGGAGCTCGTTCCTTCACATTGACTTCCTCTACACAAACATCTGTTTCCACGAAGAATCAAACATGGTGCTAGTAACAAGTGACAGTAATCAAAAGGTATTCACATTCACTTAATTTGTATCCCCTGAGACAGGCACCAAAGTATGCCATTTTAATATGCATATTTCGACAAAGAAAAAGGTGCTTATACATTGTGGATCGTACAAAATTTGTGAATAAGGAGTGCGGTAGCCAAACATGCAATATATCTTCGAAATCAAAGAAACTTGAGCATTACCTGTTTTGTTCCTAGTTCAATTTCGTACTAAATACTTTTTTCAATTGTCTATGATTTTATCACAAGATGTTCACATAAAGGATGTCATCAATATTTGTGGAGCAAGGCACTAAGCAGCAATAGTGAATAAAGAAAGAAATCTAAAAGAAATCCTAGACCGCAAGCATTCTGCTATTGTCATGATCATCAACGTATAAAGCCAACAATCTAAGATAAGTTTATAACAAGAATGAGAAGAAAGAAGAAACAGGTTATACGACAATAAGAAATGGATCAACCACCCAAAAATAGTAGGTTGTGAATGGGTAGTAAAAAACAACTAACATATACAACTAGACAACATTCTTAATAGCATCCATAAAGGGAAAATAAGAGTGATTAGCCTGTTTGACCCCATTTGTTTTGGGAAAAAATGTGTTTTGAAATAGTGATTTGTTCAGAGAATATGTGGTTAAAAAATATGGAAAAGTTTTGAGTTTACGTATAAAATTACTTTATGGGAACAAGGGCTTGATAATAAAACACCTAGAGCATAGAAAATTGCACCTGATAATAATATATTAAAAAAAAAATTGAGAAGCCAACAAACCTTTAACAACAAGAAATATCTTGTTATCTAGAAAAACATGCATTCTTCCAGACAGCATGTTTTCAGGAGAGGCCAGAAGTTCTTGTATACATTCGGCTGGCTCCTCCAATAGCTGCTCAACACAATGATATCAAATAATTTGTCCAAGCTCAAATTTTCGCCAAAACTCATAAGGCCATCCACAAATAAGATAATAGTGTATAAAAGAGAACACAAAAGATGCCATCACTATTTCGATGAATTGAATAAAATTTCCAGTTTTATCTAACACTCTAATTGGTGCTCATGAAAAGATATATAAGTATCCATTTAGATGTTACATTACATCAAGGGAATGTGGAACTTCAGTATGCCAAACATGCCCTTCATATTAGTTAAGTAGCTAACGACTTTCATTCATTGTAGGAACTACGTGGCTGCAACTTCAAGTGAAAAACTTAACTACCCTAAGTGACATGATGAGTGACTGGTGTTATCAGATTGCCAAAAATGGGTAGAAATTAGCTTGTCTTTTTTTGGTTGGTGGAAGTAAGCTGTAGTTACCACTTTACTTATCAAATACGATAATAACCGAATACTAGCACATTCAGTGAAATTAATTTACTTCTGGGGCATTTTTATGACTGAAAAGCGCAAGGCTCAGTACAAATGAATAAATATTCAACATTACTGTTTAACTTAAGTCCAATAAACGAATGGCAAACAATAAAACCAAATTACCTTGAACCACATTAATTTGGGCATTGCTAGAAAAGCTGTCAAAATTGTACAACCTGGGCGGATATACCCCTCTAGTTCAACAGGCATGTGGGCCAACCATTCAAATATCTGTACAAGCATTGATAAGCATGTCAAATAAAATCTATCACATCTCTGATACAACAATATGTATATTAACCTATCCCTTTTATACTGAGCTGTAATATTAATCTTTAGAATACTTGATGCCGAAGTCGTCGAGGAAAGTCTGCAGGATTCCAATCATAAAGCTTGAATGAGATCCGTCCAGCAGCAAACTACAATATACAAAAAGCTGAATTTAATAAGCCTTGACAGTGCAACAGTAATATTTTACACACTGAAGCATTGGACCCACCGCAGAGAAGAAAGGGATCTTGTTCTCACAGGATGAGGAATATTTCTGTTTGGGATTCTGTTTATCCCTGTCAACACGAGTTTCACCAGATGCAGCAAACAACAAAAAACTGTCGCTCTGCCCCGAACTTATTGTCGATAAATGTCCTTCTGACTCCAAGAAAGTTTCCCGATCCACAATCTGACTGCTCAAGAATATGCTATCTGTGGCATCCAGAATTCAACAACTTCAACAATGCAAAATAGTACACATAAAATTTCAGCATCATCAAATGCACACATGAATGGAGATAACAAATGGAGATCAGAGGCCGGAAAGCGGTATACTTAGCGCGAAACATTTACAAGATTATCCACTCCTACTGACATATCTAGGAAAAAGAACTAGGGAAGTTGAAGAAGGAGAGACAAACAGAAATTTTTAAATGGTTAATGATGAGTATAATTTACTCATTGAACTAGCACCCTCTAAATCATGGTTTTTGGTTTGTTCTTGAGCACTTTTGACGTTTTAATGTTTGTGTTCATGTTATTTTGTAGTTCAGACAACTTGGAAAAAATGGCATATTTCAGAGCTTGAAATGAAGCTAAAGTGAAAGGGGAGAAAAACGAAGTGGAAAAGAGGTTAGAGCATGAGCAAATGACGCGAAGCAGTACATGTGGCACCACGGCGCCGCTAGGCGCCCAAAAAAAAAAAAAAAAAAAAAAAAAATTGCAGAAAGTTGGGCCCCAGCTCCTGGGTGCCACGGTGCCCAGCCAAGAAAAAAGGTGCAGAACTGTTGGCGTTGTGGCGCCAGACCTTAGGCGCTGCGGCGCCAGCAGCAACACGATCGCAGCCCTGCGGCGCCGGACTTGGGCACCGCAGAGTCGCCTACCAAGAGAGAGGAAAATCTGTTTTTTTAAATCTTTTCAGCCTGGTCCAACTCCAACTCGTCTTGAAACATTAGGGAAATATAAATACAAACTTGAAGACCTAATAACAGGAGAGAAGGCGGCTCAAGGAAGCAAAGAAGAAAGAGATTGATTGAGAGGAAGAACAACTACAAATTGGAGGAGAATTCAAACGGCAAATCAGTTTTTCTTAATTTAAATAGCAAATCAGTTTTTCCTACTCTTTTCTTCTCCATGTTCTTTCCTTTGGATTACGTTGTTGCTCTCAATTATGAACTATTTTCTAAAATCAGGGTTTAATGTAATCTAACTTGAGACATGTTTGGATTTTAATATAGTTAGTTCTTTTTATCTTTCCATTAATTTATTTGTGTTGATTATAGCGCATTACTTACAATTACTTGATCAATAATTGAATAATTTGATGCTCTAAATTTCGGCACTCGAGAGAGGGAGATTTAGGCGTGATCTAAGAATAACACAACCTAGATTTTGTAGGTTTCGAGAGAAGATATGAAATCTTTGAGGTTTATTTCACTTAAGAACCATGTACTCGATAATTTCTATATGTTTGATTCGAAATAAAGATATCGAAATTAAAATATAGAGATAGGCTCTATTCAGTACTCGAGAGAGGGAATAGAATTAATCCAAGATCCTTGCCTATAAAAATTCGGAAAAATTGTTAGAAGTAACTATAGAAGTTAAAAAATATTGTTGATAGGGTGGTGAAATCATTTCCTAGGCTTTCTACGTTGATAAATCTTTTATAATTTGCTTAAATTTGTTTGAATTGTCATCATATCCACATTAGATTAGTATCTCTGTGGGTTTGACAATCTTAACTCCATTATTATATTAAAAAACTTGATATCGTACACTTACAGTATAAATCACGTTATAGAAAACGCGTAACAGTTATCATAACCATCATGGTGAGAAAAGTTCAAACCTTTTCCAGTGTCATCATCGCAAGAGACATCGTCAACCAAAACAACCTGCTGAGATTCCTTCTCAATGCTTCCATCAGAATCATTATTCCTTCTTCGACGTCTCTCGTTGTGTTTTTCTAATTTTGTCCTACAACTACGTTTATCCTCATCGAAATCTGACAAAATGTGAAACCTACCAGAGTGGAAAAATGAGCATGAGAAGGTACAAATGAAAATCAAGTACCAATTAATCCTATAATGGGCAAGTTCATCTTTTTTCGCAGTTCCAATGTAAATAACTGGAAGACTTAAATAGCATGCACATCTCACTGTTTCTATATAGTCCAGCAAAGGATTTATGCTGAAGATAAGAAACTGAAACTCTATCGCTAAACTATGTATAATTTTGAACTTAATTCAAGAACTACTGAACAAATATATTAACCAGCCTTAACTTACGTTTCCACAAAATGATGAAGCAGCAGCAAGGAGGTTAAAGAAAAAGTCACTTTAATAGCACATTTCATATTTTTGATTTTCACTAGCTAAACAATCGAAAGAAAATCGAAGCTATCACAGTTCGTCAATAGACTGGTGAAACATTTCGAGGAGACAAAGAAAGAGACAAAGGTTCCCCAACTTATTCCCACTGTGATTTCATCATTAACTGGAATAAAGATTCTTACCTGGAGGCAGATAGCTTAAAGTATGGATTGACCGAATTTCCACCACGAAAAATGTAGGTAATAAAACCTAAGTGCATAAATTTTTTCAAGATTTATTAATTTATGTTTGTCCTGCCACAAATTTTATTTCAATGTGACTTCATTGTCTAGGTTCTTTTCCAAATTATTCAGTGAATCTGTCAGACCAAATCTTAAAGTTTTGTGAATCTTTGATCAACAAAGTTTCTTTCCATTCAATATAAATAAGACCAATCGTTCAGTCAAAATTTGAGAACCGTGATAAGTTGCTTAAAAACTATCTCTGAGCATGGTTTAAACCTAATAACTCAATTAGCGACTTCCACCATTATGCGTGCACAAGATTGTTTGCAAAATTTGGATTCACCTGCATGCCATGGATCTTCAAATAACATGCTGAGTTAAACTTCTGTAGAATTTGTCTGTTGGTAAATAGCTTATGCACAACATACAAGTAATAATAGCCATCAACCTAGGCATTTAAATAAAACCATTCCCAACAAGGTTCTTCGTCAAGAACCTATTTTCTTTACAATCCTTATTTCTAGTGATTCACGATCTTCAACATCATAAAACCACAACATAAGTCGGAATAAAATTATGTGTAAACATCACATATGTCTAAATAATTTCCCCCAATCATAGTTACATGCAGAATATTTATAGTCATTTGTGAATGTATTTCCATTTTGAATCACCCTCCCTTACGGCAAAAGGCAAGATGTAAACTGCAAGAAACATTTCCCCATTAACTTTACAGATACAAACATGAAAATAGTTAATTGTACATGAGCCTATCAAACTCGTAATTCAATTCACAAAATCACATCTTTCATTCTCTACAGGAACTTCTTAAATGTGCATGCATGGAAGCAAGTCAACCTATATCCATCCAAAGACAACATTATGACAAACTAGATCTTATCAAACCTAAAAATCATATCTTTAATCACCTGTGGCCGTACTTAATCTTTTACTTCCTTGCAGATCAATTATAAACCATGACTTATCTTTCTTCTTTGATATCCTATTATTTATTTATTTATTATTATTATTTTTTTTTTTTTTCAAGAATTCTACCTTTTTGTAACTTTCTTTTTCTATTGATTCTTTTTGAGATGGAATAAAGCAAGCAACCTAATAGGAAAAGGGAAACGTATTTTTTCCCACCATAGTCTTCAACGCCTTGTAAAAAGCAAATTAAACATAAAAAGGGTATCAAAAAAGCGTATGTAAAGTTACTAAACAATTAAAAATGAGCTCACTTTCCACACTTTTGGCAATATCTCTTGCTCTCGCCATCAAGAATCACTGCACTCGCATTGGCACACCGCAAGCAGATCCGGTGGCTTCTATGGTACCATTTGAGCTCGCTAATATCGGCCTCGCATTCCGGCACCTGACACCGGGCAGTAGCCCCAGCAGGAATCCTAACAGTCCGAACCCGTTTCTTACCCGGATGATCCCTACTTGCCTCCTCCTCCAGCTTCTGATCCAACTCCGGGCAAGCACACGGGACCCGCCCCGCCAAAAAATTCGAGCATACCAATCTCGGGTCCCTCTTCCTCACCCTGGTTGAATCGTTGTATTGTTGACTTTGGGATTGAACCGGGTCAACACTGGGTCCGGATTCTGATTCAGGTCCATGAATGGCTTGTGGGTCAAAGGCGAGGTTTAAGTTATCATCCAGGTCGAAATCAAGAAAATTGGACCAGTCAAAGAGGGAGTAATCATCAGTGACATTACCGGCGTCGGTCGACGGAAATTCAAGTATTTGCGACAGGTAGGACGGGGTTACCGCCGGCGGCGACGTGGATTTTTGTTGCATTCCTTTGCCTGAAAAATGGGAGAAAATTGGTTTGGAGTTTAGTTTGTGTGCGTCTCCTGGGGAGGCATAAAAAGAGGCAGAGGTGGGTTGGGGGTGGCATTAGGTGGTGACACGGGGACGTGAGAATCTCCAAGCGGCAATCATTGGGTGCTATGCGATGATGTGATGTTTGGTGATTGATAAAAACGAATTTTGCTAGATGTACAATCTTGTGTACTACTTTCATAACATTGTCCTCTAGTGGCACAATTTGGACAATGACGTGAAAGGATATTGAAAAAATCTGAAGCGTGCCACATGGAAGAATGTAAAGGTCAATTAAGATAAAATGTACATGTAGCATGATTCGATAAAAAACATCAATTTTTTCTAAATAAAATGGAACTCTTATAGTGCATTTGATTATCAATATTTTTCATGAAAAAAATATTATTTTCACTCAAGATTTTACTTTTGTGCTGTTTGGTTAATTTTTTTTATGAAAAATATTTTTCTACTTTTGGTCACATATTTTCAAGGAAAATATTTTCTTTAGGGGAGTAAGTTTTTATTTTTTAGGTAATTCACTCCCTCCCTCTCTCTCATCCACTCACTCTTTTTATATCTGCCTACTAATAAAAAATGGATAAATATAAATATTTTTTAGGTTGAAAATAAAATCAACCTAACACATTTAATTGACGATTTTTATACAAATAATTTCTAGGTAATTCAATTACTTAAAATTTATTTTCTTTTCATATAAATTTCATACTTACAATCAAACACACCCTTATAGTAATAAAAAAAAGTAATGCTATTTAGTACAATAGTATTATAACATCAGTTTAGATGACATTAAATTATATTGATTTTAAACATACTGCTACTGAAATAACATTATTTTTAATTAAAAGATATAACAAATTGGAATTGCATTTATAGTCTAAGTCCACATGTCAATGGTTTGATGGGGTTAGTTGGAGCAAATATATTGGAGGGTGGTTGCACCTGATAATTACTGGTTGCGTAAAGTGAAGTGCAGCTGCGAATTACTTAATTAAAAAGTAAAATGATGAGTATTAAAATGACGGCATCTTAATTTATTGAACGGGACAGGAAATCGGATGGCCGTTTAGTTAAGTTGTCTAGTTTTCACCGTCAAAATGTCATTTTAAATTGCAATTTTCTAGTTGGGACGTGTAACAAATATATCTTCAATTGTCTCGTTTTCATCATCAATCTATCATTCAATTTTACTTGGTGTCATTTAAAATTACAATTTCCTGGCTGGATTATGTAACAAATATATCTTCAATTGTCTTGTTTCCATCCTCCAAATGTCATCATTAACTTTACTTGGTGTCATTTTAAATTACAATTTTTCTGGTTGGGTTGTGTAATAAATATATCTTCAATTGTCTCAATTCCATCGTCAAAATGTCATCATTAACTTTACATTTTAAATTGTAAATTTTTCGGTTGGTTATGTAACAAATATATCTTCAATTGTCTCGTTTTCATCGTCAATATGCCATTTAACTTGGTGTCATTTTAAATTGCAATTTTCTTGTAAGGTTATGTAACAAATATATCTTCAATGGTTTCATTTCCATCGTCAAAATCTCATCATTAACTTTACTTGGTGTCATTTTAAATTGCAATTTGTTTTGGTTGGGTTATGTAACAAATATATCTTCAATTGTCTCGTTTCCATCGTCAAAATGTCATCATTATCTTTACTTGGTGCCATTTTAAATTGCAATTTTTCTGGTTGGGTTATGTAACAAATATATCTTTAATCTTTTTCAGCATATAATTTATTCACAATTTTTTTTAATTATATTGTAAAATTCATCGTTACCTCCATTTTAATCATTAAATGAAAGATTTGGCCTTCTCTTTATATAAGTAAAAATAAAAGAACGCAATGAAATAGAAAAAAAAAATAAAAAAATTGCAAAGGAAATCCAGATTTTTCAGAAGTACAGATAAATTTAACTTAAAATAATTAGATATACAACCAATCAAAAAAATAAAATAAATAAATAAATAAATAAACATTTCATCTTTCGTAGTCAAGCTCACTCCTACCCCTACCCCTACCCCACTACTACCCATCGTAGTAGAACCACCGCTATCAGTTGGCACTTCACTATCCGCAATCTATTTGCAAGAATCAAATCATAGCCAGATAGTAGAGAATTGGTTCCGAGAATGCTAAACTTTTTTTTTAACGATTTAGTTCTTACAAACGAATGGTGAAAGGCTGGTGAAATGCCCACCGCTCGATGGTGGTGATTAGTTGGGAAAAATGAAATATTTACGTTTTTTTTTCCTTTGCGTGTATGTTGATAGATATTCGCTAAAAGTATATACGGTAAGTGCATGGACAGGGACGGATCCAACCGCTTGAGTGAGCTAGGGCGGAGCGTCAAGCATTTATCAAACGACTGCTCAATATAGCGATATTGTTCACTAATAATTAATTAATTTATATTAAAAGAATCTCCAATCAATATATAAATTCATTAAAACGTAAAAATCATATACATATGAAAATGTAATTCAATACAACCCAAAATAATAAGGATTCAAAATACAGTTTTTGAATTATGTATGTATTATCAAGTTTTAAATTTTTATAAACTTAAGCGAGACAAGATGAAGTTTATATGTAAAGTATTGATTAAACAATAAAAACAAAAAATTTAGAGCAATGAATTTCAGAGCTATTTTTTACACCAAAAAAGAAAGTATTTTTCAAACTCTTAAAAGAATAAAGATCGGTAATTAGATTGTTCAAATTTGAATTTTACAAAATAAAATTGATAAAATCGAACAATAAAAGTATATACGATGAAATAATAATTTGAGTCAACAAAATTTTTTTAAAGAAATTATTTTAGAAACAAAAACTAATATAGAATTATTTAGTTATCATTTATTGTGTTAACAAATTAAGAAGAGAAAAAGAGGTGAAGGGTACAGCACTATGCATATGTTAATGGAAACAAAATACTATAGAGTTATTTAATTATTACTTATTGTGTTAAAAGAATTAAAAGAAGAAGTGGTAGAGAGGGGAATCAAACCAATGCCTCTCGGATGCAAATCTAACATCCCACCATATGAGCTACAGCCAAATTTGTTAGGAGCTTGGCACAGTTTTATTATTTAACATAAAACTCCTTTAACATGCAAACTCTTCTTCTAACTAAGCCAGCACAGGCGGCCACGCCGGCTCCGTCCCTGTACATGGATCGCGTTCAAATAATAAAATGAATTTTAAGTCCGAGTCGATCCCTCAAAGAGTATTTCTTCCAATCACACGCTAATTGATTCAATTTTAATAATAACGCAAACAATTTGATTTTGAAGTTAATTACGTCAAGAAAATGATTTTGACTTTCAATTAAAATATACAATTACAACAATTTTGAGAATTTTGATTTTAATTGGGTCGAAATTCATGATTCCACTTGACTGTCACTAAATTATTTTTTCAACAAACAAATTAATAAAAATGCTCACTTATCTTGCTAAACTGATTTTCCTATTTTAGTTAATTACATCACAAAAGTCGAGAAAGTGTAATGTAAAATACAAGACAAAGAAATAAACCCTTCTCTTGGTCGGATTCTTGAAATTTGCTTAGTTTTGGTATTGATTTCTCCAAGATTTCCCTCCTTTTTTGTGATATTTCCTCTCCTTTTGCTTGCCTCCATTTCTCTCTAGGCTAGGGTTTATAAAAATGTGGAAGACAAAATGGTAGAAAAATGTGAAAATGATGTTTAAAAGGGGAAAAATCGTCACAACCAAATTGCAAGAAGAGTCCTTGAAGAAATTAAAACGTGTACACAGGTCATTCTTTTCAAACTTAGACGCACTCCTAGTAAAAAATAAGGTGCGCACCTTAGCTCTTTGGTTGTTCTCTGTTATCCAAAATTGGGGGTAAGGCGTGCACTTAAGCTGCAGGTTTAAGCGCGTGCCTCAGCCCTCTTTTTCCTTTTCTTTAGTTCGGTTCTCAAAGAATTGCATGATTGGTCCTTCAAATTTGATTTATCCAATTTGGTCCTTAAATTTTGAATTTCTTTTCAATCAAGCCCTTATAATTTGCAACTTGGGTCATGAACTTTCTTGCTTGTATACTTTAGTCCCCAATTCATATTTTTGTCCATCTTTGGTCATTTTTCCTTTCTTTAGCCTCACTCTCTTCCAATTTGGGATTTAAGCCTACAAAGCCATAATTAGACAATTGTGAATAGGAATTCGCTCAATTTCATCAATAATTAGTTGGTTAAAGTACCTAATAAGTGTGTAAAAATACACTTATTAAACACCCCCAAACTTAAGTTCTTGCTCGTTTTGAGCAAGATTAGCTCCTAACACAATCATGCAATACGTTATAAGAACCAAAAATATTAGATAACTTGACAAAGTATTTGTGAGTGTAAAATTGTGTAATCAATTCACAGATATGCCAAATCATGCTACCAACAACAATGCAAACTTGTCCAGCATTTAATCGAGATATATGTATGCATAGTCATTTTGAATTATCATATAATTTAGAAAAAAATTATCAAGACAAAAAATAATAATAAAAAAAAAATTCTCAAATTGGCTCCATCCCGATCTTTTGTGGTCAAATATTTCATTTCCCTCTCATGAGATCCACACCATAAAATAGCTATTTTCTTATTTATCCCCTTGAAAATCTAAAGGTTGTTTTCATGTCACTCTTTTCTTCTCTTGCTCGAATTTGATTAGCTCTAACCGACAATTTCAACTCTAGTTATGTGATGATTATCCACTAATGAGTGATTTCACATTCAAACTTATATTAAGTACTTCAAACCCACTAGGTATCCAGCCCCAACTATAAAATACAATTGCACAAATAATCTTTTTTCCCCCTCTTTTTCAAAAGGCCCCCAATAGTTTTATAACTCTTTACAGAAAAAGCACTAAAAAGTCTTATGCCCGTAACAATATTAAATTCATATTTTACCTCAATCCTTTAAGTTTTCTTCTTGACCCATGTAGTGAGCTTTAGTCGATAACTCGTTGATTGTTTAGACCAAAGGGTACTGGGTTTTGACATACCCCTACGAACTTAATAACCCGAGTAAAAAAGGCTATGAAATGAGGCCTAAAATTCAACAAGTGCAA